GAGGCCAGGGCAGCTCTGGAGCTCCCCCCACCCCCAGAACAGTTAGAGACAGCAAGGACAGTGGGCGCATCTACACATGTGCTTTAATGCGCATTAGCCTATTATAATGTGCATTAAAGTGTCACTAAAAAATGTGCCATTTAGTTAATTCACATTAAAATAGGCTAATGAGCATTAAGTGTCTCTTAAAAACTGTGGGGTGCCTATACGCAAGCACAGAGGATGGTCTGACGTTGTAATTACAGCATGTTGGAGCAGACTTGATTAATCAATCAGACTTAATTAATTTCCATCACAAAGATTAATCGAGACTGCTGGAGCATCATAATTACTGTGCTCCAGCAGCTTCCCATGTCTCATTAATTAGCTTTCCCACACTTCAAAAGGTGGTGGTGGGGCACTTGAACTAAAGCTCATCAAACAAGCTTTAGTTCAAGTGCCCCCACTGCCATTTTGAGGTGTTGGGACACTGATACATGAGATGCTGTGGCACTTTAATTAAAGAAGCTCTTGGAGCCACTTTGATTAAAGCATTGCCACCCCACCCCCAGAGCACATGTAAAAGTGCCCATGCTCTTTAGTTAATGCACATTAAGCCAGGCTAATGCACATTTTCTTAGTACCTCACAATGTGGGTACTAGATTTAATGCACATTAGCTAAGACACAGTGGCAGTGGTAGGCAGAGGAGAGGTGGGGATTGGGAAAGGAGGGGACATGCCTCTGACCATGGAGGGAAAGGGAGGAGATGCCAAGAGTGGGGGTGGGGAAGATTCTTTATTGATTTAGGGACTTAAAAAAAAAAGTCCCAAGCTGCTGCTCCTGTGGTATGGTTTGCACATCCTGGCTGAAGAAGGGATGGGAAATTGGGAGTGGTGTTACAGCCACACCTGCAGTGCCAGTTGCTGATCCCACACCCCGTGTTTACAAAATCCTGGATCTGCCCATGACCCTGATGATTGTAGGTGCCTTTCTTTGCACCTCTTTTACTTTTCATTCACCTTTCTGGAATATGGGTGACCAGAACCGTACACAAGTGATCCTGAGGAGGTCCTACCAGGTACCGTGTAAAATAGCACAAATGCTTTTCTTTATTTTCTGAAAGTACCTCAACTGATGCATCCCAGGATAGCACTTGCCTTTTTTATGTCTACATCATACTGATGTATCATATTATCCTGTTATTGACTAATATAACCAGGTCTGCCTTCTCAGCCATTTTAATCAATTCTACTGTATAAAGATAGAAACTATTCACTACAGTGGCATAGGACTTACTTATAATGATAAAATTCATTCTTTACAATATGAAACTCTGACAAATCTCCCACTCAAACCAGATGGAAATTTTGTTTGAGAAAAGGCAGCATATATGGCTGCAAGGAGACCTGACATGCATTCATATTTAATTTTAATTTTACAGTGTTAAAATTGTAATAAAAAAGAAATAACATACAATATATTAAAAAGAGCAAGTGTGCTGTGCACAGTGATCTGCTTCATTTCTGTTTTGATAATTTAATATGAATGTTGCATCTTAATCCTCATGAATGGCATGAGCCACCCTCTTCATTCAGTGAGGTCAGGTTGTACAGAAATAATCATATGTAATCATGTAACTGAAGACTGCATCATAATGCAGAAGGAGACAAAGTTATGCTTGTGTGTGTAATCTTAAATTTGTCATTTCCTGACTTTTGAGTACTTAACTTTGCAGCCATAATGGTCTCTTAACCTACTTTTTCGCATGGAATATAGGTATATACATACTTTAAAATAAGTGTACAAATACAAAGTTGTATATATTAATACTAACACTTTTATAGCACTTTTTATCTCCAAAGCCCTATACAAACATTAGTTAAAAAATCATAACATCCTGTGAGATATCTACCAGTATCCCCATTTTACTGACAGTAAAGTTAAGATTGAGAAGTGGCATGATTTAACCTAGTGAGAAGGCCCTTCACTAGGTTAATGGCAGGGCAGCTGTTATTTATTTATTTATAATAGATAAATACATTTTAATAACTGATTTCTAATTTGCTTATTAATAGATACCTGATTCCCAGATTTTTTCAGTTTCTGGGTACAGTTTATGTACTATATAAACTCCAGAACAGTTTCTACACCAGAACAATAATTATATGAACTTTCACACTCAGAAACTGGTTGTCAGCCTTGATTCTAAATGCTGGTTTGCAGGATATTTTGTGATGACATTTACTGCAGAATTATTTGCATTTTCCAAGTAGTATAAAAGGTTTGACCAGGATCATAAAAAAACTAAAATTTTAAAGAAGCACCCCAAACTGCCATCAAATTATGTTCTTGAAAGGAGTAATTATGTAATGCCACAGGTGTTCATGGTGTAGCTGGGAGAAAAACTGTTAAGATATAGACTGTCTTCTTAGGCTAAATTCAGAAACTAAATTAAATCAATTATTGTTAACTGAAGGGATTATAAGATGATGGGAATTACACTTTCTACTCTTTCAGGGTATAATTATATTTATTTGCTTAGACTTCTTGGATTCACATTCACTTGCCAATGTGTTAGGGCCCCATTGTATACATCAACTCTTAATTTGGCCTACCAAATCTAAGTTGGTGTAACTTACCTGTTTTTGAGGGCCAGAAGTGGTAAGTGTAGCAAGGACAGCAATTAACTAGGGGAAGTCAGAAGGTATAAGATGAAGAAAGGACTCCACTATTTGAACTTAACTTACATGTTTTTACATCATCTTTTTTTTTTTGGTGTGCAGAGGCATGTCTCTACCACTTCCATGATGCTCCTGGGAGCACTGCCAAGAAGCACATCCTATCTTCCCATTCACACTCAATGCACAACAATTCAAGAAATGAAATAGAGAAGCCACCCTAAGGGCACAGGACACAGTCCTCCGGTGGGGTGGGAGGTAGAGGAAAAGCATTCTGAAGGGAGGGAGAGCACTCAGAGTACGGCTTCACTGTCTCCTCTTTGTATTAGTGCATGCCGAGTGGGAGTAAGTAAACATCTCTAAAGCATCAGGGAAGCAGTATAAGCAGGCCCCAAATTACCTCAGTTTTGACTTCTTTACATTTCATTATGTAGATCTAATAGAGTTAAGATAAGTATAAAAATATGCTAGTACTGGTTTACAGAATTTATGGATAGCAGGATTTGTTCAAATTTTTGTAAAAAATAAAAGGATATTTGGGCAAACCTGAGCCAAGTTTTACTAAAAATTTGAGCTGAGTCTTCAGTAAGTTTATGCTAACTTTTGAGTACAGTTATACTGACATCCCAATGAACATGGGCTGAAGTTTGGAAGATATCACCTATTATTCCTAGGAAATCTTGTACAAAATTCAGTGTTTTCACATAGCTTCAGCTAGAGAGATTCTGAAACAGAAAAGCCAGATTTCTGCACCTCTTTATTTTACAAGAGTTTGGCTTTGGCTCCAGTGTTGGCAGCTGGACATCTTTAAAGTGGGCTGAACTGAAACCCTCACTCCAAAAACCACTCTGCGCTTGGGCCTTCTGAAACTTAGTGGGTCATAGCTAGTTTCAACCTGAAAACAGACACAATTCAGTGGTTTAGGTTCAGTTTTGCTTTCTTTAAACCTAAAACTCAAAGCAAAACTCATGAGCTGCATATCTACATGAAATGAAAATTAAGAGAGAATGCAAAAACTGCAAATGGAAACAACAGTTTTACTCATATCTGTTGATAACCCCCCTTTTTGTAAATTTGCTTTTCAACTGCATAAATTGAAGTCATCAAAAGATGAGCAGGTTTCACTGCCGGAAGAAAAGATGAATTCTGTAGCTTTGAAACATCACTTTCTTTTCTTATTTAACCACAGTCAGAGTAAGATCTGTCTGTGAATGCAAGCTCTAGACATCTGTCAGGAGATGAAATTATCTCTATCCCAGACTAACCACATTCAGTTCCCTCTTAACTATAAAATAACAGTTCTTGATTTAGAACAGTGGTGCCCAGTCTTTTGACCTTGTGGGCCAGATAAGTGGGGCAGGGCTGGTCCTTAGGCTGGATTGAGCCCAGAGTTCAAGGAGCGGGCCCTGAGGCCCAGCACTACTCTTTTCCATCTCAGCATTCTGGGATTGAGTCCTGGAGGCCTGACACTGTTCTTTTCCCACTCCTGCATTCCAGGATTGGTCCCCAAGGGCCCAGTGCAACCCCTTCCCACTGGGATTGATCCCTGGGGGCCTGGTACCCCCTGTCCTGCCCCAGTGTACTGGGATTGTATCTTAAGGGGCTGGTGCTGCCCCCTCCTGGCACCTCACACAGGATTGGACCATGGGGTCTGGTACCACTTCCTTCCAGCCCCCTACCTGCCAGGATTGGGCCCTCAGGCCCAGTTCTACTCCTGTCCATCCCAGCTGGGATCAGGTGCCCCAGGGCCTGGTGCTCCCCATGGGTCTGGAAATTTGGCAGCAGGGGAACAGTGCCATAGCTCCCTTGCTACCAAATTCCTGGACTCATGGGCAGCCCTGTAGCTGGATGGCCCAGGGCCCCAGGCCGGATCTGGCCTGTGGGCCGGGTGTTGAAGACTCTGGTTTGGAACCCTAAATCTATTTTCTATATAGATATCCATCTCTGAACTCAGATCCAAAATCTCTTGTAATACTATAAATTACA